ACACACACACGCGCACAGGTAGACACACACACACACACACACACTCAAAACAGATGCCGCATACAGAAGATAATTAACTGTCTACTGCACACCAGACAGTGTTCAGACAGCTTGACAGATGTGAGACTGCAAAAAAAGTGATGGAAAATGTAATGAACAACAAAGCTTTGTTCCAAAACCTTAGAGCTTCCTATGCATGCAGCATTTTAAAGCATCATGGAATCCCAAATTATGCTGCCTCCTAATATACTTGGTTTTAACCAAAGGCAGCATAACATGTATCTTTTGCAAAGGTGTCAATCCAAAAATGCACCATGCCAAGCTAATCAGAAACAAGACATACAAGATGGCAAACAAGAGAAATGTTGATTATAAATAAGCATGTTTCATTCAAATACTTGTGTGCGCTGTGTATTTTATGTTTTGTTCGAGTAAAAAGCTAATAAGCTTAGCAACATGCTAATATCAAACTCTACCGGAATGTATTGTGAATCTCGAGTCTTGTGTGAAGCAATATGTGCTGCTGCCTAAAGTGTTATAAATCACTTGTGAGGTGTCATAGCAGTTAGGATGTTGCCTTATAAGGCAGCTGCCTATGTAGGTACATTAGTAGGCAGTGAGGTTTTGGGACAAAGCTCAAGCCTAATATGCAGTAATATTCTCACCTGAGGTAGGACACTATTGGAAGACTTGGCAGAGACCTCCACATCTGGAGATAAAGACATCGAGTTATTCAATAGAAAGATACATCAGTAGCAAACAAAACATATAAAATACAGCAAATTAAGTGCACATCTTGTAAAATTTAAGTAACACTTTAGTACAGGGATGAAATCTCACTATTAACTAGTTGCTTATTAGCATGCATATTATTAACATATTGGCTGGTTATTAGTACTTATAAAGCACATATTCTACATGACCATATTCTACATCCCTAATCCTACCCAATACCTACAATTAACAACTACCTTACTAACTATTAATAAGCAGCAAATTAAGAGTTTACGGAGGTAAAAGTCATAGTTAATGGTTTGATAAAAGAGTTGGACTTTAAAATAAAGTGACCAAAATTGATGACGTACAGATTTCCTTCACTTTTAGGATTTAACTAGTGGTATATTAGTATTATTTACGTATTATTATTATTGTTGTATATATAAATTCGTTTATTTTTATATTATATTACCCTTAGTACGTCAACTTTATTTCTGTGTGTGTATATATATATATATATATATATTTATTTATTTATGTATTTATTTATTAATAAATCTCAATTTTTCTTCTTTTTTTACCATTTTAATTATTTCTTTACTTTCGGTAATTTTAGTACTTCAACTTAAAACATTTATTTCAGTTAGTTCTAGTTTTTAATTATAAATCATTTTCATTTACAAAAAGGTAAACTAGTTTTAGTTAACAATAACATTACTGTTTTGACATCACTGTTTGATTATTTAAAAGAAAGACTAGAAATCAGAAACACCTGTTCTAGCATACTATAATGTTGTAGTTGTTATTTTCCTTGATGACACTGCCATATATAGGAAAGGCATATGTGAATTAGCTCATGTTTAATAAACCAAGAAGTGAGGCAAATCTCTGCTGAAGCGTCTGTGAGGTCTCAGAACAAGAGGACACCATGGGAAATGTGCGTGCACCTGCTTTGCTTTGTGTGTTGTTGGGGATTTTGGTCTGTGCGGTGACTAAGAGTTCATATGTGTGCTCTTCCTCTTCCAGAGGCTCGGCGCGTTCATCCACACTGCTGTTGGTGTAAACCGCCTACAGAGAGAGAGAGAGAGAGAGAGAGACTCAGTGATGGGAGAAAGCGCTGATATAAAAACCAGTCGCTTATTTCACAGTCCGTACCACTTTACGAGCAGAGGTACTATGAATATGATGACCGTTTTAATAACAGTGGATAACAGTATTAACTTTGAATGGCTGACATTTATATGACACAGTCCAATGAGTGATCGTTTTGCTGACACTGCACGAATGTATCAAGAAAAGCTTTGTAAAAACGTCTGGCCTACTACTTCAGTTCAGAGTGGTTCATTAAAACCAAGTGTTCAGAAGTTGTGAACCTCTGAATCCAGCCGCAGTGTACTGGTCATGGGCTCCCGAGTCTTTCAGACAGAAGGTTTGCTGTGTGTTGCAGAGATCCACAGCATTAATATTCATGAGGAGGCTGTTTGATTTGGGTAGACGTGCGGAAACAGCAGTCAGCGAGTGGAAAGACAGATTCAACAGCCTCTCGCCGCAATATTCATTGTTCTGCTCTCCACCATGTGCACTGCTGCAAATGAATATGTCTGTTCATTACGTACTCACAAGACTTGTGTCATATAGAAATTAAATATAGACAAAAAAGGTTCATGCCAATACTACTTTTTAAACATTCATTATAGTAACGTGAGGTACCATGTACTGTTACCATGCTATTACCACCATGATACCTTCCCTGCACATTTTTGCAAGGTAAAATAAAATGAATTATTTTGAATGCAGTTAAACAAAGGTGAGCATTCCTTGTTCATATCTGAAGAGATTTGTAGAGAAACATATTTTTAATTAAATATCAGACGATAAAGGAGGCAGATACTGTTAACAGCAGGGTAAATCACATCTGCCAAATGGAAACACTGGCCTGTTCTTCCAGAGGTATTTATTAAGGATTCCAGACTTAATTTGATTTTAGTAACATGTGAACCAAACAATGGATCTCCGAACAGGGATTTTACCTCAGAGCTGAGATCCTCTTCCTGTGCAGGCTGACTCTGCGGAGGATGGCGCTCTTTCTGTAAGACACATTCAACACATTTACTATCAAACATGCTGAAAATGTATTTTTTTTTTAAAAAAGAAAACCTCAAAGAAATCACTATTCAAAGTCTCCATCTAGTGGAGGAAATTGTACTACACCCAATCTTCAGATTTCAAAAACAAATCTTCACACAACTGGCTTCATTGCTTTTATATATATTTATATATATATATATATAAAAAAGGGAATCAAGTTCAACAAATAGTTTAAATGCATTATTAATAACTTTATAATAAATTCATTATTTCTGCCGAGCAATATAATTCATAACTGGATATTTACAGTTGCCAAGAAATATATTAGCTTTTCATTAATACAGAATGTGTGTTTATTAGAAAAGAGCTAAAAAAGAAATACTTGTTCCTTGTAATTGGTTGTTTTCAGCCAACAAAGGTTTTAAGACAGAAGTATATCTCGCACACTCACCCTCCCGGCTTCGCTGTCCGGTCGTCCGGAGTCTCTGTCCGATGACTTTCCGCTGGCCAGACTGTCCAGTGAGACGCACGAGGACGCCTCAAACAGAGCTTCATACGGACTCTCTTCCACAGGGGTCGAAGCCAAACCGGATATGAGCTCACTGACCTGCTGCTCCATTTCTCCTGTCGAAACACACGCATACGCATTACAACATCTGCACAACATCTGGCATACGGATACCACGAGCATCAGCCATCAGGCATCTGTGAGAACCACGACTCAATCGCAGATTATACAAATGGCCACATGATAGAATGCAGTATGCACTGATAAAACATTTCAAAAAGTAGTTTTGCAATCATGCTCTGTCATAATTACTAGATGTTGTAAATTGCAATTACGAATTCTACAAGGACATGCAGGCTTTTTGCATGTTGCAATTTCATAATTTCGCTAATTTCCCACATTACCTTACTACATTGCATGTTTAATTCAATGAATGTTGTCTAGCAGGCTTACAGAAAATACAGCTTTTTTTTATTTTCTATGCAATTTTGTGTAAAACGGTCTTAACTTTTAGCAATCGGATCAAATAACGAGTCAAGAAAAATTTAAGTATTCTAAATAATTTAACATCACTTCAGACTCTTTCATCACATTTTGTGCATAGAGAAGGTTTGCATACTGCGCAGAGTATACATATCATACACTGCAGAAATAGTAAAGGTAGTAAGAAAGCTTTTCTAAACACAATAATTATCAAATAAATCAGACTTTTAAGGGTGTGTTCACACTTGGCATGTTTGGTTCAGTTGAAATTGAACTCTGGTGCGATTGCTCTTTTAGTGCACTTCGGAGTAAGTGTGAACGCTGCCATCCGAACACTGGTGCGCATCAAACAAGTGGACCAGAGTCAAACCAGAGTCAAACAACTGCACCAGAGTTCATCTGAAAAAGATGCCATCACTGTCAATGAACTCTGGTGCAGTTCGACTAAAATAATAACACAACTAACTTGGATCAAACACATAAAAAAACAAACCAAAAACTTTCTCTTCTCGTCATAGGAGCTATTTTGCCCATTATAGTTCAGTACAGGCATTGGAACCTGCGCTCCCTTGCAGGAGATCTTCAGGAATTCTTGCTGCCGTTTCGACTCCTTTACACATTTTATAAGCTCTTCATGAGTCATCAGCCGGTTTAAATAACACTATATGTACGCACATACAACGAGTGCATTCATTCCAGCACACAGCATTATCTTGGATGTTCAGTAAGTTGCAAAATATGCATCATAAAGGCTGTCAAGTCAGGTTGAGATTGCATCCTTATGCCTTGTGTGTCTTTGGGTTCAGTGTTAAAATCAAAGTGTGAATGCTGAGTGAACCAGAACTACATGCCATTTTCTTTTTGGGTCTGGACCAAGAGAACTGAACTCCAACTGTAAACACACCCTAACTGCACTAAATAAAAAACCTTAAATAAAACTAATAACATCTCTCAATATCACTTAACTGACTGTTTGGCGTATCAAAATAAATTCCTAAAAATCCAGCGGTTAATTGCGTCTAAAATTTAGATCTATCATTTTATGAAAAGCAAATAACACTTGACTAACCTTATATTTTTAACATATATTTAACATGTATTTTTGTTACATTTCAATCAAAACATTTTATAATGGAGAAATTATACAGCTAATGAACAATTATTATTCATTTTATATCCATATTCTGCATCTTTTATAACAACTTAAGAAGTCTGTGGTTATGAGGAGGATGAGCCAAGAGACATTAAGACTATATAAGCATCATGTTGCAATAACTGTGTGAATGCCACTGCATTGTCTGTATGTATGTGTGTGTGTGTGTGTGTGTGTGTGTGTGAGTGTGAGTGTGAGTGTGTGTGTGTGTGTGTGTGTGTGTGTGTGTGTGTGTGTGTGTGTGAGTGTGTGTCCTCAAATAATTTGAGTTAAATCATTGGGTTTTAAAGTGTACTCACTTTTATTTCTCATGGTACTAAATGCAATTTAATTCTTAACTTTAAAATTGAACTTGAATTTTCATAAGTTATATTTAAATGATTTAATAGCTTGTACCTAATATTTAAAGTGTGAGATATTTCATTGAGTGGAGTTTTTCGAGTGTTTCTCTGACCTTTTCTCTTGGGGCTCAGGCTCTCTTGAGGTGGAGGCACTGGTGGAGGAGGGAGGCTCGTGTCTGACGGACGGACGCTCATATGAGCTTTAGAGAGAAGACAGGAGTGAAAACGATGACCTGAGGAGAATTCAGAGATGTGTGTGTGATATCTGGTCCAGACGTACCTTGTATGAGGGCGGCGATCTGTCGGCTCTTTTGAGAGGGCATGTCTCTAACAGTGTCCAGCGCTGTTAGACTCTTACTGTCCACGATATTCACATCAATACCTGGAAAACAATCGCACAGAGCGTCCTGGGTACAATTTCTGTAGTCCAACCATTTGTAATTTCTGCATTTGAGTTTATTTTGACCTGCGTTGAGTAGTTTTTGTACTACTTCTGTCTTTCCAAATAGAGCTGCTTCATGAAGGGCACTGCCTTTCTCGGTCTGTTAACAAAGAAAACTTTCATCATAAGATACAGAGGCACACATACAGTGACCCCAACATGTTTTAGACACTTGGATAAAAGTTGTGAAGGTTGAAATGTCATGCACGTTCTGTTTTAGGTCAGTTGACTGCAATAACTGAGTCCGATGTGGCATATCAGACGACACACAGACCAGACAAACTCATTTTCACACTGCAGCGGCTTTCTCAGCGTGTTAGCAGACAAACCAGACTGTGCCCATGTGGGTCGCTGCTCTGAGGATGTACTGAGTGAGAGACAGATGGCAGGTTGTTACTGTTAAGCGTGCGAGCAGGTTTCTCAGGTAGAGGCAGGAGTGTTCTGGCAAGGTGCTAAAGAGCAGCTACTTTAAATCGCTGTGAGAAACTGAGATCAAACCAGCTGCACTGACTGCTGAAAGCCCAGCTAACACACACCCGCACTGATGAGCGGCTCAACTCTTTCAGCTCAAACCAAAACAGCATTTAAACCCATTCGGTTTCTGTAATTCCTTTTAAAAGTTGTTATATTTTTTAAAGAAATTAATACGTTTATTGAGCAGGGATGCATTACATTGATCAAAAGTGACTTCGGTAACACTTTATTTTAGGGTCTCTTAACTAGTTGCTTATTAGCATGCATATTACTACTATTCTAAAGTGTTACCAAGACTTTTATAATGTAACAAAATATTTCTATTCCAAATAAATGCTGTTCTTTTGAACTTTATATTCATACAAAAAAATGTATCACGGTTTCCACAAAAATATGAAGCAGCACAACTGTTTTTATCATTCTAATAATAATTTGAGCAGCAAATCAGAATACTAGAATGATTTCTGAAGGATCATGTGACACTGAAGACTGGAGTAATGATGCTGAAAATTCAGCTTTGCCCCACCTTTAAATGTGAATTGTTAGCGCAAAAACAGAATTTACTGTCTGTTGCTCCATTTCTGCTTAGGTCAGAATGTGAGAGAGAAAATTCAGCTCAAATCTAAAGTCTGCCCGTCCTCACCTGGTAGTTGAGATCCACGCCGGAGGCCAGCAGCACCTCCACCACGGCCAGGTGTCCGTTGCGGGAGGCCAGGTGGAGAGGGGTGTGTTTCTTGGTGTTGGAGCTGAGCAGGTTGGGATGAGCGCTCAGCAGAAGTTTGACCACCTCCAGCCGGCCGTAGAGCGCAGCCAGGTCGAGCGGCGTCTCAAACTTGTTGTTGCGCATGGTGGGGTCGGTCAGCTCCTCCAGCAGCAGCTGCACCACCTGAGTGTGTCCGTACTGAGCCGCACAGTGCAGCGGCGTCTCGTTGTCATTGTTCTGCGGAGAGAAGGAAGAAGAGAGGAGAAGGAGATGTTGATGGACAGAAAGGGCTGATTACTTCAGGACCTGTGCTTAAAAGATCGAGGAAGGAACCGAGGAAGTTGTAGCATTTGCTGAAGACTCCAGTGGGTCGTAAAGCTATGTGACTCTTTGACATAGCTTTGCAATAAAGTCGGCTTTTTGAAGAATGAATAAAAAAAACAGAGCAGAATTGTGGGAAATTCATAACTTTGGAGACAAACTGCAGACTGAATTTATGAAATTACCCAAAACACTGACACCCTTATTCAACCAACGATTTTATGGAGACAGACATAGAGCAGAAGAGAACATGCAAGCTTGACCACACGCTTCAAACACACTCAACATCCTCAAGATCTACTAATCAATGTTAGAATACGCTCTCATTTTGAACACTGTATGCATTACTATTTCTAACCCAACTGACTGACTTTCGTTAAATTTTTTTGCTTGGAAAAATATGACACTTATTTTATATCTAATTCAATGATATTCATACATTAAGTGTGACTTAAGTCTCCAAATGTGCGCACTACTGCTCAAAAGCTTGGGGTGGGTACGATTTCTTAATGTTTCTGAAAGAAGCCTTTATGGCTGCATTTAATTGTTCAAAAATACAGTAAAAACAGTAATATTGTGAAATAGTTTATTTTTTAAAATAGCCATTTTCTATTGTAATATATTGTAAAATGTCATTTATTCCTGTGATCAAAGCTGAATTTTCAGTCTTCAGTGTCACATGATTCTTCAGAAATCATTCTAATATGCTGATTTGCTGCTCAAAAAACATTTCTGATTATTATCAATGTTGCAAACAGTTGTGCTGCTTAATATTATCTACAGAAACCATTATACAGTTTTTCAGGAATATTTGTTGACAATAAAGGTTTAAAGAACAGCATTTATTTGAAATAGAAACCTTTTGTAACATTATAAATGTCTTTACTGACATTTTTTGATCAATTTATTGTGTCCTTGCTGAATAGAAGTATTTACAAAAATCATACTGACACCAAACTTTTGGATGGTAGTGTATTTGCACTATTATCTGCCTTTGGTTAACTAGCACTCTTGGTATTTGCATGGGGCATTTAAAACCCCAGATTACTTGACAGCTAATGCAGACTGAAATATTATGTTTAAATTAGTGAGTTAAACAAAATGGCTCATTGTATTGAATATTCAGCATGACTATAACAAAGCATCCAACTCCACAATGACTGATGTACTGTAAGCCACAGCGGTCAAACCCCGAGCACTAGAGGGCGCTCTTATATTTGCTTTGTTTGCCAACTGAATTAAGTGAAATCTTATGTGTGTAAATATGGAATTACACACTAGATAAACAGTTTGCCTTGAGCTCTGATGGTACACACTAGAGGACTGATTTTATAGCATTTGAATTGATAAATGTGAATGTCCTCTCAGAGCAGTGCTCAGAGATCAGTGTGTGTGTGTGTGTGTGTGTGTGTGTGTGTGTGGCAGCAGTAGGTACAGCAGCAGATGTCTGATGCACAGAAGAAGAGGTTGTGAAGGCCTCTGGGCTGCCAGCAGCTGGCACAAGCTACATCACACTCCACCACTCTGAGCACGTGTGTGTGTGTGTGTGTGTGTGTGTGTGTGTGGGGGGAGGAGATGGTGTGAAGTATGTTCAGATCAGCTGGAGATAACGTCATGATGCTTTCAGTGGAGAACTGCCCTCATGCTGCTATCTGATGCGAATACCTGAGTTGCATGCAGGAGTGGGGTACGTGTGGATCGCAGCATCAGCTAAGAGATAGATAAAGATGGCACTGCCAATGCGTGGCTTTGTTTTTACATCTGTGTTCCTAAATTCTTAAAGAGACAGTTCCACCACAAAGGAAAATTCCGTCAT